GCCAGGTGGGTCTCGAACCCGCGGGCTCAGGCAATCCACTCACCTCGGCCTCCCAAAGTGCTGGGATTACAGGCTGAGCCACCGAGCCTGGCCTATCCTTCTAATTCTTAATTTAAAACTTCCTGGCAAAATTTCTGTAATTAGTTGTAATAAGATTTTAAAAGTCCTGTAATCCCAGGTACTTGGGAGACTGAAGCAGAAGCATCACTTGAGCCCAGAAGTTTGAGATCTGTGTACTTTTATATAATGTACATGATTTAGGGATCAAAAACAATAATGTACATGATTTAGGGAAGGACATTTAAAAATTTTTAAAAATTAAAAAAAATAAAATAAACAGGGATACCTTGTTGAAGTGGAACTCCTAAGCTTTCTTTTCCCTTTCTGTGACCTGGCTGTTTTGTGCAGTAGAGCCTTATATCCCCTTGTAACACTTTCTTTCTAAAGGGGCTTCTTTTGAGGAGAGCACATATTCTCTAGTCAGAGGGTCTAGCTTATGCTATGTAATGTGAAGGACTTTTATTTTTTCTCTGGTTGACTTCATGTTTTGTAATTTGGTCTATCCAACTATGTTTATTTTTATTTTATTTTATTTTTTTAGTTGGAGTCTTACTGTTGCCCAGGCAGGGGAGCAGTGGCACACTCACGGCCACCCCAGCATCAACCTGCTGTGATCCGGTGATCCTTCTGCCTCAGCCTTCCAAGTAGCTGGAACTACAGGCACGCACTACCACCCCCGGCTACTTTTTTATTTATTATAGAGTCAAGGTCTTGCCATGTTGCCCGTGTTGGTCTTGAACCAGTGGGCTCAGGCGATCCACTCACCTCAGCCTGCCAGAGTGCTGGGATTACAGGCTGAGCCACTGATCCCAGCCACTATGTTTATTAAACATTAATTTTTCCCATTGTTATCAAAATCATTAGTTGTTCTGAACTTTTGATCAATGTGAATTAATACAAATGTAGTTAAAATTAAATTGACCATTTGGTTGCCTGCAAACTCTTAGCTTGAGTAATGCATTCATCTGTTGGGTTTTGGTTGAGATTATTTTTGCTTTTTGCAGTAGAGCTCATGTTTCTCTCCTGACACTATAGAATGTCACCGTTTGCTTAGAGGCAGCAGCTGCAACTGTAATCAGCTCTGTTCACTTCAAAAGACAGTCGATTATTTGTGATTACCAAAAACTGAAAACAGCCCACATGCCCTCAGCTGGGGAAAGGATAAACAAATTGTGAGACTTCGGCATCACAAGGGATGGACTACCAAGACCCACAACAGCATGGGTCAAGTGTATCCTGTCAAGTGCAAGAAGTCAGATGTGGAGGCCCGCCTGCTCTGACCATATGTGACATTCTGGCAGAGGCCAAACCAGAGGGTCAGAAAGCAGATCAGTGGTGTGTTGAGGGAAGGGCTGCCCAGGGGTCTTGGGGGTGATGAAACTCTCAGTTGTGATGGTGGTTACCCAACTGCATAGACTTGTCTACACTCACAGTGGAAGTTATACCTTAAGTTTTTAAAATACAAAAGTAAAGTCATTGCCATAGCAGGAACCCAGCTTTAAGGTCGCATGTGATTGAGTCCTGTTTATCATCAGTTGGGCACAATCATAGGCTTCTGTAGCTGACAGAGAACTCATAGATGTTGTCTTAACCCACATTTTGCCACATTATTGGAAAAACTGAGGCCCAGAGAATTAGAGCAGCTCTGGACCTCTTATTTGTGTCTGCTGCTGCTTCCATGTCCATCACCTGGCTCACTTGTAACCAAACTCTTCCAGACAGGAACATGCTCCTCTGAAAGATGTCAACTATTAAAACTCTGGAAGTTGAGTCCTAGTCATTGCTATTTCTATCTTTTAGGCTTGGACTTAAGGATCAGCAAGAGAGAGAAATAGTTCATGTTCTTATGGACTGCTGCCTTCAAGAGAAAACTTACAATCCCTTCTATGCATTCTTAGCTAGCAAGTTTTGTGAATATGAAAGGAGATTTCAGGTAACTTAGTGAGACGTCCACAATTACATGGGCTGTTTTTCTAAACATTCCATCTGGTTCAACCCACCTGAAGATGAGTTCCCTAAGCCAGGAGCCTTCCTTCCCAACCACCCCACCCGCTGCCCCTGGTCCCAATCACATGGTCCACACTGGCTGTCAGACGTATATTCACTGGGAGGAGGTGGGTCAGGCAGACGAGAGTGACAAGTCCACAATGTCCTCATGTCACCTTTTCCTGCCACAGAGGCAGGGAGCATGTGGCCAGGTTAACATGAGTGCTCTTCAGTTTATAGCACTTCAGTCTCTGCTGATGTCACTGACTGATGACTTTTCTTTAAAGCATTATGTTGCAATCTGCTGATTTGGAGAAAAAAATGCAAGAAAAGGGTTATTGTGACACTCTTTCAGCTACTCTCTAGGAAAGGATAGTATGGTTACTCCTAAAAGTCTTGATTTTTAGAATATTAAAAATAAGTGAATAAGAAATAAAATATCTACCTTTAGGGTATATTCTTAGTGATTTATTTATTTATTTTTTTTTTTTTTTTTTGAGTTGGAGTCTCACTCCATTGCCCAGACTGGAGTGCAGCCACCACAGCCTCGACCTGCTGGGCTCCGGTGATCTTTCTGCCTCAGCCCCCAAGTAACTGGAACTACAGGCATGTGCTACCACACCCAGCTAATTTTTGATTTATTGTGAGATGAGGTCTCACCAAGTTGCCCAGGCCGGTCTTGAACCCGCGGGCTCAGGCAATCCACTCACCTCAGCCTCCAAAAGGCATGGGATTACAGGCTGAGCCACCGAGCCCGGCTTAGTGATTATTCTAATAATTTGTTGTAGTATAACTTTTTTCTTCTTCTTCTTCACTATTATATTAGATGACTTTCCAGTTCAGCATCTGGGACAAATTTCGGGACTTAGAAAATTTGCCAGCTACTAATTTCTCTAACTTGGTTCATCTGGTGGCCCACTTGTTGAAGACAAAGTCACTTTCACTTTCCATCTTAAAGGTTTGTATAATGTATGAATTCATTTGAAGCAGTGAAATGATGGAGTAATTGCTTGTGTTTGGTACTTTTTTGTTGTTTTTTTGTTTTGTTTTGTTTTTGAGTTGGAGTCTCACTCCATGGCCCAGACTGGAGTGTAGTGGCCGCTCCCAGCCACCGCAGCCTCGACCTGCTGGGCTCTGACTATCCTTCCACCTCAGCTTTCCAAGTAGCCAGAACTACAGGTGCGCGCTACCACACACAGCTAATTTTTTATTTATTGTAGAGATGAGGTCTCGCCAAGTTGCCCAGGCGGGTCTCGAACCCGTGGGCTCAGGCAGTCCACTCACCTCAGCTGTGTTTGGTACTTTTTAAAAACATGTATTTTCTTTTATTCCAATTTACCTGAAAAATGTTTTCATTATCAGAGCCATAGAAACTGGCCAAAGAAAATTAACTTACAGTATAAATTCAGCTAGTAAATAAAGGCACAGTTACAGGCTTTTTTGCTAATCTGAGTGAAGCTGTTTTGGGGTTTGAGGTTAATGTGCTGGTCCTAATCATAAACTCCTGCACTGGTCACTGTTCAACTGGGAGGAGACTGGAGTGAATTAGGGACTGTTCTCTTCAGAGGTGAGGTGAACTTGCTCCCTGCTGGTGTTTGCTGGAAGTTTTAAGCTCTCAGTGCTCCCCTTCCCCACTGTGTTTTGGGACTTGACAGCTGATAAAGTGTGGGGGTGAGCGCTGAAACCTAGACATAGGAAATGGGATTTAAGGCCTGCCAGGAAGGCGTCGATGGTGGGGCCACCAAGATCTGAAGGTCCTAAAAATCCTGAAGTTTTTCAGAGTCTTAAGCGCCAAGAGGAAATGAAAAGCAGAGATGATTCAGGGGCTTTGGCCTCCGTGCCCCTGCCTGATGCTATCCTGCAGAGGACAGCTTGGAGCTGCAGTCGCCTATTTATATGTTCAGATGTTCTTGTGTGCCATTTATCAGAGCATCTGCTCGAATTTACCTTGTCTCTCTTGGTCTGTGGTGTCAGGGCTTGGCCACTGTACTAAAAATGAGAGTACTAAGCCTTACACCAGCTTCTGAGAACTGAAGTGACTCAGAATGTGGAAGGATTGCCTTTTGCTCACTCAGGCTTTGACCTCAGTGTGGAATGAGATGTGGTACCACCCCCCATGAGCAGGAAGGCACAGTGGAAGCTCGCTCCTAGGGGCAGAACTTCCGAGAGATCCTTGAAACTACTGCTGGCCCCGCCCTTCCCGGAGGGGCTGCTCTTTCATTTGGCATTTCTCCTTGTTCCCAGCATGATTTTGTACTTTGACTCTGCCTTTGTGTCTGCAAACAGGACATAATATTGCTTTGCATGTTTTTGCCTCCCTATGCATAGTGTTACGCTGTCCTCATACTCTTAGTGTCCTCCTACAGGTTATTTTAAATTCAACTTTCAAGTTTGCAGTTTATCCATGTTGATATCTGTAATTCTGTTCTGTATAGTTTTCCACTATATAAATATGCTACAATTTATATATTCATTCATCTATTGACAAATGTTTAGATTGTTTCGGATTTTTTACAGTTTTCGAGGAGAGAGAGAGAGGAATGAGTCTCTTCTGGACCTAAGTTTTATATATATATAGTTTTGACTAGGCGACAGTCACTTTAGGGAATGGAGATCATTTATGTTTCAATTCTCAAAATTAAATTTCTGATTCCTAAGATGTACACCCCCATAAACTTTACTTACCACTACCAAGTTGTTCTCAATGGTAGTTTACTGGTTTACACCCCTGCCAACAGGAGTTAGCTTCATAGCCTTGCCAATAGCCGTTCATTTCTTAAAACTGGAAATAAGGCTATTAAGTGAGGGGTGGGGAGGGATTCATTTTTTTGTTTTTGTTTTTGTTTTTTTTGATTTGGAGTATCACTCTGTTGCCCAGGCTAGAGTGCAGTGGCACACTCACTGCCACCCCAGCTTCAACCTGCTGGACTCCGGCAATTCTTACACCTCAGCCTTCCAAGTAGCTGGAACTACAGGAGCGCACTACCATGCCCAGCTAATTTTTTGACTTATTGTAGAGATGAGGTCTCGCCAGGTTGCCCAGGCTATTCTTGAACCCATGGGCTCAGGCATTTCCCCTCACCTCATCCTCCCAAAGTGCTGGGATTACAGGCTTGAGCCACTGTACCTGGCCGAGGGTTTAATTTTTACTCTAATTAACTCTATTTACAAATCCTTGACAGAGTTGGTTAAATCAGTGTAAGTTTATTTTTTTCTGTTTCCTGACCACTAGGTAGTTGAATTCAGTGAATTGGACAAACCCAGAGTACACTTTTTACGAAAAGTATTAAATATGCTGTTAATGGAAACGGAAGTTGAAGACCTTGGTTTGATTTTTGCAAGGTATGTTCCCAGCTTGTTCTGATAAGACATAGAAGAGAGAAGAAAGATAGTTTTCACTAGTGTTTATTTATAAATGCAAGCCTGTTGTTTTATATATATATAAACTTAATTTGGGGAATATAAACTTGCCTCATAGCAAACTATGATTAGTAACAAAATATGTGAAGAAGTTCTTATCTGAGAATTCTATTTTTTAAAGAAACTATGTCACTAGTTGAGATACTGAGGATTGAGCTCTAGGAGAGACTGGCTCATCATTGATGTGTGTTTATATGATTTCTTTCCAGAGTGTGTGACAACCCCAAGCTGGGGATGTTGCGTGAAGGTTTGAAGCTTTTCATTAGTCACTTCTTGCTAAAGAATGCCCAGGCCCACAGAAGTGCTGACGAAGCCAGCATGCTGAGAGAGAGAGTTGACGTTGCAACGAAGTCTCTGCAAGGAAAAGCTTCCTTAAGAATGTAGTCAGAGAAAAAGACTTCAGTGTGGTCCTTTGTAAACCCAAAGGCCTATTCTGTTGTCTGTGTAAAAGCTTTGTTGTTTTGTTATATTTTGAGATAATTGTTTGATTCAAGGTTATATTGTTCATGTTTTGAGCTATTTTCTTTTACTTTTTTTTTTGAGTTGGACTCTCACTCGGTTGCCAGACTGGAGTACAATGGCCGCTCCCGGCCACTGCAGCCTCGACTTGCTGGGCTCCGGCGATCCTTTCCACCTTAGCCTTCCAAGTAGCTGGAACCACAGGCACGCGCTACCACGCCCGGCTAGTTTTTGATTTATTGTAGAGACGAGGTTTTGCCAAGTTGCCCCGGCTGATCTTGAACCCACAGTTCCAGGCAATCCACTCACCTCGGCCTCCCAAAGTGCTGGGATTACAGGCTGAGCCACTGAGCCCGGCCCTTGAACTGTTTTCAAATAATGATACGTGTATTGGTTGTGGAGGAAGGAGGAAGGGAGGGGCCGTAGCCACTCAACAGAGTATTCTCTGAGCAGTGAGGTTGGTGTGTGGGATTGTCTTAAATTTTTTTAATAGATAAAATAGGCCACTAGAGGGTGCAGTTATCATAAGGAAATCAGTGGATTTTATCTTTTTTATATTAGGTCAAAGTTCAAAAACCATCAGCTACATGCGATGCTTGATATTTGATTGATTGTTTTAAGTATTTGGAATGCAGTTGAACTTTGGAAAAATCAGTTGACATAAGCCCTTGGAATATTGTCTTGTGTACAGTATAGTGTGGACCGGTGTTTTTCATCATTACTCATTCAGCATTTTGACACAGCATGAGGGGTATTTATCTCTTCTGCTCATCAGTTCCAAATTGGACTTTTTTTTTTGAGTCGGAGTCTCACTCCATCACCCAGGCTGGAGTACAGTGGCACACTCATGGCCAACCCAGCATCCACCTGCTGGGCTCAGGCAATCCTTCCGCCTCAGCCTTTCAAGTAGCAGAAACTACAAGCGTGCGCTGTCACGCCCAGCTAATTTTTGATTTATTGTGGAGACGAGGTCTTTCCAAGTTGCCCAGGCTGGTCTCGAACCTGTACCAAATTGGACTTTTAATGGGTGCTGCTTGCTTACTCAGTTCCTGGAGGTCTAAACATGAAGAAGACATAATTGCCTGCAAGGAATGAATGTTTAGTGAGAGAGACAAGCACATCCCACTTACTAAGTACAGAAAGCTGATCCTATGAGGAAATAGAAATGTCCAGCAATGTCTTTCTCTTTCCCATGGAATATACTTGTGACTTAGTTTATTATTTAAATTTTGCATTTGTTATGTGGCAGGTTGCCCATAAATCTGCACATTTTAACCACAAAATATGGGTTATCACAGACAGTAATTATACTTTAGTATAAGTAATAAAAAAATACATCTTGACCAAAAACTGCTATGAATTCAGAATTGCTTTTAAATATAAAGTTTTTTAAATGTATTGCATTAATACCTACACTTGAAAAATATTGCAGTGTGCTTGGTGTTATATATGACTTTGTAGTCTTTTTGCAGTGCAGGTTGAGAACTGCTGATGTGTAGGATTACTAAAAAGCTGTCTTTTAGGGTATTTCGTCTTTAAAATAGAGGTATAAGGGACAAACCTTTTTTTTGAACTTCTCACTGTTGCCTAGGCTGGCATGCAGTGGCGTGATCACGGCTCACAGCAGCCTCAACTTTCTGGGCTCAAACAAATCCTTCCCCTTCTACCTCCCAAGTAGCTGAGACTACAGGGGCACACCATCACACCTGGCTAATTTTTTAAATTTTTTGTAGAGACGAGGACTCTTTATGTTCCCCCCCAGGTTGGTCTCAAACTCCTGAGCTCAAGGGATCCTCCCACCTCAGCCTCCTAAAGTGCTGGGATTATAGCCGTGAGCCACTGTGTCAGGCCAGGAACAAACTTTTTAATGTATTAAAATGTGTAAATAAAATGTATTTTTTATATTTTGTTCAGAATACCAATGAATGTCTATTTTGAAAGAAGAATTTTGCCGATATACTTTTTCTTTACATTTTAAGATGTCTGCTTAGCTATATGGTTTAGGAAAAAGAGTCATTGTCTCCACCGACATCCCCACCTCCCAGAGAGAGAAAGCAAATGCAGCAAAATGTTAACTGTTGTAGAATCTGGGTGAAGTTTACACAGGTGAAGTCTAGTAACTTTTCCGTAAGTTTATAATTATTTCAAAATAAAGAACTTTTAAAAAGCATTAGAAATTTAGAACTCATTCTTCAAAGATCTAAAATGCTCTGTTCTTTCACAAAAATAATAAAGCAGCTAATTCAGATCACCTTTGCATCCTTTGTGAGAAATTGCTTAGGCCTTACTATATATGTGGTGAGCTTTTAAGTTTGTTTTTCTTCAGCTTCAGTCAGGTGGTAGCCTCAGCTCCTGTCACGCTGGGCTGGTAAGTGAAGGAGAAGGAGCCAGAGACGGGCGGAGGGAGGCTCCTGTCATGAGCTGTGCTCAGGAGCTCTGGTGTGGAGAACTGCCCAATAGGTGTATCAGTGGGTGTCTGAATGGTTCAAGTGCTTTCAAGGTACATTGGCCACTAGCCATCTTGCATCCCTCTTTTGAATAAGAGCTTATAGCATGAGCTGGAATATGCCAGCCCCCTTTCCACCTGTGGCAGGTGGCCTACTGGCCAGATCAGATTCATTCATTCTCCCAGGCGGTAGGTCAGCCCAGATTGTTCTGAACCACTTGGGACTTGCATCATCAAATCCCTTCACCCATAAATGCTTTTGTCTGTTTCCTAAGAACAAGAACATTTGCTTCTATAACTACAAAATGAGTTTCAAAGTTAGGAAATTAGCATGGATCAAACACCAACAGTATCCCTTAATTTGGATTTTTCTGCTAGTGCCCAGTAATTTAGCTTGTGTCTTTATTATGGCCTCAGGGCATCTTCAGGAGGCTGGGATGGCAGTTTGTCCTACTGTAATGCTGACTTTGGTCACCTGCTAAGGTAATGTCTGTTAGGGTTCTCCTCTGTGTAGATCACATTCATTTGTAATGAATGTGTAGGGAGCATGTTAATCTATTGCTGCATATCAAGTCACCCCACACCTTAGTTGTTTGAGACAACAATCACTGATCTCACTTTCTGTGCTCATATTCCGGGGCAGCTTGGCAGTTCTGGGTAAGGGTTCTCATGAGGCCATAGTCGTGACGGCCAGGCATGCTGTCATCTGACGCTTGGCTGGGACTGGAGAAGGTACTTCCAAGATGGCTGCCTCTCCACTGAGTGAGGCAACCACCTGCCATAGAAGGGCCAAAAGCAGGCTTTACAGGATTGCTTGAGGAGCCACACTGCCACTGTGGGGCTGCTGGCTGCCTCCAGGGCAGGAAATCCCTCCTCCAAGCCTTCTGTGACTTAGGGAGTCACGCTGTCACCTCCACAGTACTCTTGGCTCAGAGGTCAGCCTGATTCCATGTAGGGAAGGGGACCACACAAGGGCAGGAGGGGAGCATTGCTCCAGCCATCCTAGAAGCTGGCCACCACAGGGCTATGTGTCAAAATTTGACTCTGAATATCCTGTTCCTCCCCAAACTCACCCATTTTATCATCCTTGATGATTCTTGCTTGAATTATTACTCTAGTGGTTTGGAAGTAGTGATTTCTAACTCCATCATTCCTGTTTATTAGCATTCAATAATGAAAAGAAGCATTTCCTTCCCCATTTATCATTGGTATGGACTCAGATTTCTACTTTATAGGCTATAGTCTAGTACTACGATTTTTAAAAATACTTTATTGACATGTAAAAAGCCGTACTTACTTAATGTACACAACTTGATGAGTTTGAGGGTGAGTATACACCTGTGAAACCATCACCACCAAGGCCATAAGCATACTCGTCACCTCCCAAAGTGTTCTACTGCCCCCTTTATTGCTTATTATTATTTTTATATATTATTATAATTGTTACTTATGTGTATGTGGCAAGGGCACAACATTATCTATCCTCTTAGCATATTTTAAGTGCACAACAGAATTGCTAGCTGTACTAGGTCACCAGAACATGCTCATCCTGCACGACTGAATCTTTGTACCCTTGATCTTCGCCTCCTATTCCCCCTCCCCCCAGTCCCTGGTAACCACAATCCTACTCTCTACTTCTGTGAGTTCAACTGTTTTAGATTCTACATATAAATGAGATCATGCAGTATGTGTTTATCTGTGTCTGACTTATTTAACTTAACACAGCACCCTCCAAGTTTATTTATGTTGTCACAAATGACAGAATTTTTTTCCCTTTTAAAGCTGAATAGTATTCCATTGTGTGTATATACCACATTTTTTAAAAATTCCTTCATCTGTTGATGGGCGCTTAGGTTGTTTCCATGTCGTGGCTAATGTGAGTGGTGCTGCAATAAACATGGAAACGCAGATACCTCTTTTGACACACTGATTTTATTTTACTTTTTTTGAGTTGGAGTCTCACTCCATCGCCCAGACTGGAGTGCAGAGGCACGCTCCTGGCCACCACAGCCTCGACCAACTGGGCTCTGGCGATCCTTCCACCTCAGCTTTCCAAGTAGCCAGAACTACAGGCACACGCTACCATGCCCAGCTAATTGTTTATTGTAGAGACGAGGTCTCGCCAAGTTGCCCAGGCGGGTCTCCAACCCGCGGGCTCAGGCAATCCATTCGCCTTGGCCTCCCAAAGTGCTGGCATTACAGGCTGAGCCACCAAGCCCAGCCTGATTTTATTTTCTTTGAATATGTACCTGGTAGTGGGATTGTGGGATCAACGGCATATCTATTTTTTGGGGTTTTTTTTAGGAATTTCTCTACTATTTTCCGTAACAGATGTACCAATTTACATTACCACCAACGGTGTACAAGAGTTTCCTTTTCTCTACACCTTCCCCAACACTTTTGTTTTTTAAATAATAGCCATCCTGACAAGTGTGAGGTGATTTGTATTTCTCTGATGATTAGTGATGTTGGCACTTTTTCATGTATCTGTTGGCCATTTGTATGTCTTATTTGGAGAAATGTTTATTCAGATTCTTTGCCCAAATTCTAT